GTGACAGGAAATCCCAGTTTTTACTGGCATCGGCTCACATCAGATAATCTGGCTATAACAAGAAAGAAATGGCTCCATATTCTGATCCCATGGAGCTGGGTGAGGGGCTGCTGTAGGAAAGGAGCTTCTTGCCTTGCCCTTTGCTTGTCCTCAGGCTGGGATTTGTCTCATTTGTGTGTCCACCAGCTACCAGCTCACCCTGGAACACCCTGGGCGGGAGGAGCGATTGTTGGTGCCGTGATTCCAAGCCCAGCTGCTGGGAGAAGGCTTTGGGAGCTGCTGGGCTGCCCTGGATGGGGCTCAGGGGCAGCTGCTGACTCACAGCAAAGAACCTGCCTGGGTACAAACAGAGAACTGGTTGTGTCACCTCCCAGCAGGTGACAGCAGGACCTGGTCGTGTCCTGGCTTGGGTGGTGTCACTGCTGCGTTCCACGCTGCCATCCCTCCCTTCTTTGGGAGCTCCATTTGGGCACATTCAAAATTAAGGAGCAGCTTTGGGGCTCAGGTTTGTGAGCCAAGGGTGATGCTCACCCGTCCCAGGGCTGTGAGGATGGAGGAGTTAATGGTTGCAAAGTGCTTTGGAGAGGACAAGTGCTCAGTCCAATGGCTTCTTACCAGGGAAGGGGGTGAGGAGGAAGAAGTTCTCACTCTCAATGGACCTGTGAGGTCTCACTGCATCATGGAATTATGGAATATCCTGAGCTGGAAGGGACCCACAAGGATCCTCAGTCTGGCAGCTGGCCCTGCACAGACACCCCGACAATCCCACCCTGTGCCTGGGAGTGTTGTTGAAACGCTCCTGGAGCTCTGGCAGCCTTGGGGGCTGCGACCATTCCTGGGGAACCTTTTCAATGCCCGACACCCCTCAGGGGGAAGAACCTCTCCTGATACCCAACTAACCCTCCCCTGAGGCAGCTCCAGCTGTTCCCTTGGCTCCTGTCCCTGCTCCCAGGAGCAGAAACCAGTGTCTGATGTGACAAACACAGCTCTGACAGGGCTGCTCCCGTGCTGTCCCTGGGACTGAGGTCAGGCAGCTCTTGACAGCGAGAGGATTCCAAAATACATTCTGCAGCGTGTGAACAGCCCCCTCCCGTTTCTCCTGCTCCAACTTTATTTATTTGACTTCTGTTTCTTTTTCTTTCACTCCTGCATGTCTTGGAGCTGCTCTCCAGGGAACAGCCGAGGGCCTGGCAGCTGGGCTGTGCTCGCTGGGCAGCTTCTGCTCCGTGTTTAATCTCCTCCATGGACCCTGATTATTCCCTGGCTCCGACTTATCCACACGGATCTCCCAGCCCTAATTGCAGGTGATGGCGTTGGTGGCACTAAGTCACGAAAAAGCGTACCTTGTGAACAAAGGAATAACCTTAAAAGCAACAGCCTGTTGCATATTCATATATCTCATACATGATGCACAAATTCCTTGCAAATTAAGAACTTTTCACAAGATACTGTTTTTTGTGACTTAGTGTCTGAGAGCATCCGGACGTCCGTAATTCTTCGCTTTTTATTGTCTTGTAATTGTCCTAACTCTAAATTTTATTACTCTAATTCTATTGCCATCTTTATAACCATTTTATTATTGTTATTAAACTTTTGAAAATTTTAAAAACCAAGCGATTGGCGTTTTTCACAGGAAGCATAAAGCATTATGAGCTTTTTAATTAGAAAAAAAAAAACAACCAACCAACCAAAACCCCAAAAAAAAACCCCAAAACCCCAAATCGGCGAATTCTCCACAAGGCGGCTCACGGCCCCTTCCACTCCGTTCACGGGGGACGCCGCTTTTCCCGCGCGCCGCTGCAGCCACGCGCCCTCTGGCGGAGCCACGCGGGGCGGCGGCGCACCCCCCCCCGCCGGAGTGGTGCGCGCCGGCCGTGCCCCGGACGCGCTCGGTGCGCCCGGAAGAGGCGGCGGCGGCGGCGGCGGCGGCGGGCGGGACGGGCCGGAGGCGGAGCCCGCGTGTCCCGATCGCCGCTCCGGCAGCAGCGGGGAGCGCGGGCCCGCCGGTCGCGGCGGCACGATGCTGCTGTTCGTGGAGGTGAGGTGACGGCGCCGCGCCATGTGGCGGAGGAGGAGGAGGAGGAGGAGGCGGCGGGAGGCCGCGCACGCCGCGCCGGGGGAGGGGACGGGGCTGACACAGCAGATCCGGCGGCGGCGGCCGCGGGCGGGCGGGTGGGTTCTGGGGAGGGTCGGGGGGCGCTCGGGAAGGTTCGGCCGGGGCAGGGGGCGGGGGAGGCGCCGCCGTGACCTTCGGGGGCGGCCGCGGCCCGGCCGTGAAGGTGACGCGGGACACGCGGGGCCTCCCCGAGGCCTCCCAGCAGCGGGCCCGGCCCGGCCTCTGCACACGCGAGGCCGGCCCCGAGCGCGGCGCCTCGTTAATTGCGTTAATTAAACGCTGGCGGTGGTTTAGGCGCGGGAAGCGGCGGGGGTTCTGCCGTTCTCCGGCACGCCGGGGCCGGGCGGGACGAGGAGCGCGGCCCGGCCCTGGAGGTCACCGGGGAGGGCAGGCGCCGTGTCCGCTGTGCTCCGGGATGGGCTTTCACCTGCTCACGGCGCTTCACGGGTTCGGTGAAGCGGTTTTAACCTTCGCTGCACGAGCCCGGGTGGCCGCTGTAAACTTTGCACCGAGTTTTGTCCCAAAACGTGCGCGGAGCAAGGAGCGGTCGGGGCCGGGGGGAGTCACGGAGGGAGCCGGGCGGGCGCTGGGCTGTGTCTGCACGGGAGGGTTCGGCTCGGGGGGTTCTGCTCTGGGGTTCTGCTCCGGGTTTTGCTCTGGGTTCAGCTCGGGGGGTTTTGCTCTGGGGTTTTGTTCCGGGGGTTCTGCTCTGGGTTTTGTTCGGGTGACGGGTGAGAGATGGTGCTGGTGGGCTCGCACACAAACACCAACGTGTGCTCCGTGGTTAGGAGCCCCTAAATAAAGCAGTTTGGGAGACACGATCTCTTTCTTAACTGAATCACCTCAGTTCTGAGCTGGATGTTCCTTGGCTTCGCGGGGAGGATTAAAAGTTGTTCCGAGCACCGTGACAGGCCTGGGGAATTGGGGGTTGCAGGTTCTGCTGGAAGAGGAACTGCTGGGGCTGCTGGGAGGCAGGAGCAGCTGCCTCATCCCAGAGAGGCCCCGCACACGAGGCGGCTTCTGGAATGCAGGGATGGAGATGGGGACGGGAGCTGGAGCAGATCAGGGAGCACATGGCTGCTGCTGGTGTGGATGGGAGCTGGAGCTCATCAGCATTTTGGGAACTTTAGGGTGGCCTAAAGCACAAACTCAACTCTGGTCTTTCTCTGATAGCGTTGGAAGTTTCTGTGATCTTCATTCTGGAAGCCTCAATAATACTTAATTTTGAGTTCCTGAGGATCATCTGGACTTTCTGAAGGTTTCTTTTCACTGCCAGGACAGAGAACTGGAGCTCAGAGCTAGGTATCCTGGAATGCTGCAGTTGGATGCTTGGGAGCAGGCAGCAGCTTTATCTGGGGATCTTTGGGGATGCCTGGAAAATAAGGCACAGGATGGGTGGAAGGCCCGAGGTTTTCAGGGGGATTGGCTGAGTGCTGTAGCTGTCAGTGTTTTAAACTTGGTGATTGTGCCAGGCCCTTCACAGTGTGTGAGGGGGAGTTGGGTTTCTTTGAACATCCTTTAGCTCCAAACCCCTGCAGTGATGGCTGTATAAGGCTTGTGCTGTTTCATACATTTCTGTTTGGGGCAGGGCTTTTTTCTCCCTCTAAGCCAGGACCTGTGTGCTGTTAACAATTAATAATTAGGTGCATTGGGAATATTAATAAATACATTGAGAGAAATGGAATTGATAATGGGCTCCACTCAGATGGCCATGTGCTCCTAATTCCATATATTTGTAATTTATTGAGGACATGGGAGTCTGTGTGTTTCAGGTGGGTAAAATGCTGCCCATGATGTTTCCTGGTTAGAAATCCAGGACTGTGAGTGCTGTTGGCCCTCTCGAGCAGGTGAGGCTCCCTGTGAGCCCACATTGCCCCTGTTCACACTCCTCTGACCCAGGTACCACCTGCAGACAGCAGAGCTGTGCCGTGGCTTTTCCAAGGGGTGGCTCCTCAGTGGAAAACCCTGCAGCTCCTGATCTCCTCATCCAGCCTCTGAGTCTGATTCAGCCCCAGGAGTGGTGGTGACTGCCCTCAGAGAAGGTGCTCTGAGCTCCTCAGGCTCCCTACCTGCCTGTCCCCCAGCCAGCACAAGGCTTTTCTCAGCTGCCTCCCGTGGCTTTGCTGACCTTGGGGTTTTTCCATCTGCTTACGTTTCCATTTCTGGAAAAGGGTTAGTTTCTCCCCTCACAAGTTTGGTTAAAATCTCTTCTGGATATTTTGCTTTGTTTTCTGTTTAAGAGAGTTTGTCTGCTCCAGGAAATCTGTCACAAGCTCTGGGTTAGGATTTTGGTTGCAGAACAGTTTGAGTTAATATTAAAATTGAATGCTTTAAAACTCTTTGAGTGCCTGCATTTTTGTTAGCTTCATTGACTCTGGTTAAGTATAATTTAGATGTAATTACAATAAGAAAAATACCATTTGCCATGTTTCAGAATGAGAATTTTCTTCAATAGCCAATTTTTAGGAGTTGCTGGAGGAGAATCTTGGATCCACAGTTGCTAGAAGTAGTGTGAGCGAGCTGTGCTTAGGAGGAGAGCTTTGTCAGCTCGTGGATCCCAGCGAGTGTTCCCAACCTTTGTCACTCTGTAAAGCTTTAACCTCGTCATGAAAGTTCCCGATAGCAGCTGGGAGGATCGTGCTGCAGCCAATCCCGCAGGCTCGGCGTTTTAGCCTCAGTTAAATAAGCAAGAATTGATATTTTGGCCTTCTCTTCTGAAGAGCCGCTGGCCAGGACAGAGCGATTTTGCTTGTGGGGCGCAGCATGAATTTCCCAAAAGCTGATGTAAATTAGGGACTTTTTATCCTCTGCAGTCCGTGGGGTTTTGCTGTTCAGATGAGTGAGAGCAGAGCTGCATCCTGCTGGGCTGTTTCTAGCACGAGGGGAAGTGGCCCACGGTCTGTTCCAGGTGTGTGTCCCTGCCATCGTGTCCATCACTTCAGCAGAGTTGTTTTTAGTCCCAATCACCTCCAGAAATGTAGTAACCACAACCAAGTGTTTCAGTTTCACTTTATCACATTTATTCCTGCAAATTGCTTTAGGCCTGAGCTCAGTGCTACCCTTAGAGATGTAGGTAGTGAGGCATAGTTTATTTTTAGAAAAGAGTGAATCATCTCCTGGATATGTCTTGTTTCTTTTTGCTTTGTTGAGAAGTAAGTTCAAGGAGCTGCTGGCTCTGGGTCTGTGAGCAGGAGCCCATATGGGCAGGTGATGCTGCCCCAGGAGTGACCAGAGGCTGAGCAGAACTTAGTTTGGCACTGCTGAACTGCAGTGACAGAGCCTGTGGTTGCAGCAGGTTACTGGGTTTTGCTTTGCAGGTTGTTTTGTTAGGGAATAACTGCTCTGAAATCTGCAAAGGGAAATACACGTGTGCCCTTTCACCCTGAACTATTTCCAGTTTCCAGCTCTGCTCCTGGGCGAAGATTAACGTGAGGGGAAGACTCTGTTGCTATGTGGATTAAATCAGTTGTGCGTGGGGGGTTTGAATCTCAGAGCTTTGCAAAAACCGTGGTCCTTGTTTTGCTTCTTACACTGTCTTGAACTTCTCCAGTTTTTGGAGGCTTCTTGTTACTGAGCTGGGGCTTGTCCTTGCAGCAAACAGCTCTGGCACGAGGTGTGACCTTGGCAGAGGAATTATCTCTAAAGCTATTGCAACTGCTTCCTTATCCTGTGCTGTGTGTTTGAGGCCTGGTAGTGAGCCACTCCTTAACTTCAGAATCCAGGAGCTGGCCTCCAGCATGTCCAGCTCGCTTATCTGTGTGTTTGTGGATATGAGCTGGATTAATGGCTTTCACCTTTTAAAGTCCAGCAAATTGCAGCAGTGAAGTGGAGCATCGTTCAGTGGCTGGAGGAACTGTTAGAGCTGCTTGTGGGGTGTTGGGATATCTTGTGGGGAGGATTTTTGCAAAAGGGTACTTTTATTCACTACCCTATAACTACAGTTGTTATTCACTGTGTGAAAGGAGCAGAAGCCATGTTTTTCCTCTGTGCTGCTCCTGGATTGTTGGACTCCTCACCCAAAATGCCTTTGAGCAGCTCTGGGAGAGGCACCTTGAAGGACTCGATCTTGTGCTGTGGGAATGAGTGTTTCTCTGTCAGGTGCCAGGCTGGAGTCTTGCAGTTTTTCTTGCCTGTGTCATTTATAACCCTTTGACTCTAATTATGGTCCTTGTTGCCCAGACCCAAAGTGAGAAGATCCTGTTCTCTCCCCAGCAGGCTGGGATGGTGTGTAAGTTTGTCTTGGCAATTCAAAACCTTTAATCTCCTTGGTTACCAGTCTGAGGAAATCGTTAGTGTTTGTTGATGTGTGTAAGATTCCTGGGGGAACGGGGTAAGTTCAGGAGGAATCCTGGCACAGCACAGGTGATGCTTGGTTAGTACAGATGTCACTAATTCCGTTAAGTTATACAGTTTCTTCTCCTTGACATATGTTTTTTTACCTTCCTTTCTAGGAAGGGGTCTGGAGGAGGGAAAATTTCCCTTTCTGGTGAAAGGGGACTGGAGCATTATGACAGTCAAGTCTTTAAAAGCTTATGAGTTCCCAGAGTCCTTGCCGAGTAGCCGCTGCCTCCGCTGATGTTGTCGGATGTCAATAAAGAGAGGTTGAAGGCAACACTTCTAATGGAGGTAGAAACGAAATACTTGGAAAATACCAAGGATTTTCCTGTTTTCATTAATAAAAACAAAAATCACATAGGTGCTTAATAGCTGGGTAGACACTTGAGATGTGGAACTCTAGAGACAATCACTAAATTCGCCTGTATTTTCTGGCTTGACTTCTGAGGCTTCTCTGGGTTGCTCTAACTAACCAAAGTCTTCTGATCCCTTCAGCAGGTAACATCGAAAGGTGCTGGCTTGAACCCCAACGCAAAGGTGTGGCAAGAAGTGCCCCAGGGCAGTGCTGAGGCCGTGCCCCCCACCAATGGCACAGAGCAGACGTGGCAGGAGACCGCGGCAGCCCAGGGGACTCCGGCCGAGGGTGAGGTGTTGGGACAGGGGTCGGGATAGGGGTCGTGACGTGGCCCCTCCTGGGGGACGCTCGGGGGGCTCAGCTGTGAGGAGCAGCCTCTGGCTCTTGTCCTTGAGGCTGCCAGTGCTGATGGAGCAGTGGGTATGAGGGGGAGGTGAGAAAGCAGCAGGGTTTCAGCAGTGGGCTGTGCTTCAGGAAGGTGCCTGAGCTCTGCTGGACCAGGATTCAGGGCCTGGTGATGACCAAGTAACGCGCTAAGAGGGGAGCAGGGTGCTGAATGTGTAGAAATGGATTCGTGACATTGCTGCACTGGAGCATCCACTGGACCCTGTGAACAGGAAAATGAGATCTGAGGGCCACCTGCAATCCTGGCGAGCTCAGGTGCTGCTGAGAGCTGTCAGGAGCATTTGTTCTCTTCTGTGCAGCCCCCATGGTTAACTCCTTTCCATTCAGGCTGTTCCATCCACTGCAGTTCCATTCCCATCCTTATCATCACACAGGCAGTGTCCAGAGCTGAGGATTCAACTGGTTTCACTTGTTTGGCTCAGACTTGATCCAGGGATGTAGCTAAGGTGACTCAAAGCATGGCAGAGGATGCAGAAGATTCCCTACAGAACGGTTTAGTAAAAGTTAGGGATAAAGAAGAGAACATTCAGCTTGTATGGCCTTGTCAAAGGTTTCTGGTAAGTCAGCAGAAGTGAGGAGAGAGTGCTGGGTTTGTGCTTTGCCTGACAGAAACTCATTTGTCTCTTCATAACAAAGTGAAGCAATTGAGGCAGTGTAAGCAATTTTCATCCCTTGTTTTTAGGAACCTCGCTTAAATATTTTAAATTTCATGTGGAAGGACTGGTTTTTAGATTCTCTCGCCACTTTGGGGATCAATTCCAGGATCCTTTATTTACTTTTATTTACTTTTCCCTGAGAGCCTAGTGCAAACCAGATCTTCCTGAAATTGGAGAGGTACAAGTCAAAGAAGTGCAGGCTAAGATTAGGCACTCTCAGGTACAGCTTTCTTCAGTATTTAATGTTTGTAGCCAGAATTTTTCAAATGGGAAACATGCTGAAGCTGACAGGAGTTTTCCTGCTGCTGCTGTGTTCCTTTGCCAGGTAACATCGAGATCTCAGAGGACAGCTGCAAGCAGTATGAAGTGATGTATTCCCCGGCCTGTGAAGCCCCAAGGAATGGCACAGGAGTTGATGAGGCGTCAGCAAATGGAATTGTCCTGGCGACTGAAGATCTGGGATACCAAATCTATGAAGTGTCGGGTGAGTGTTAAAGTTCAAACGCTGCTGTCAGTGTCTGTAACCCCCCTGGAGCTGCTCTGAGTGTGGTGTGACCAGGTTAGAGCTCTGACATGTCCATGTCTGTCCAAGAGGCTCCAGTGTGGCCTCAACACGTGGCCAAACAGCTGCAAAGTGGGATCAGAGTCATTTTGAGAGTGTAGTCTGGGGGTCTTGAAGCTTTTCCTCTTGGTCCTACCCGGAGGGATTCATTCTTGTATTCTGCAATGAGGTGTGTCCTTGCCTGGTCTTGTTGCCATGAGAGTGGGATTTGATGGTGGATGTGATCCCTTTCAGGTGATGGCAGCTCCGCCGTGTCCACAGAAGACATTAGAGAATGTTTGAGAAAACAGCTTGAATTCTGCTTCTCTCGGTAGGTGCAGTTAACTCAGCCTGCTATAAACCCTTTATTTAATAATCTTTGGCAAATATCCCTCTTCTTGGCTTGATCTGTCCCATCATGTTGATAAAAACACGAACCAAGCTTTGGTGGTGTGCTGTAGGAGCCCTGTGGCACCTTCCAGCTGTTTCAGTGCTGTCTGTGCCGCTGTGTCCTTGGATGAGGATGACTCCTGTGCTCCACAGTCATAAGATGTTGAGATCATGTTCTGAGTGGCACCAGAAGTCTTTTTGGCAGATCCTTTTTGCAGACAGACGTGTAGGGCACTGGAATTTCACTAAGTTTTTAAAATTATCTTACTCTGTTATTAAATAAGAATTTTATATCTTTTTAGAGAGAATCTTTCAAAGGATCTCTACTTGATGTCTCAGATGGACAGTGATCAGTTCGTTCCAATATGGACAATTGCCAACATGGAAGGGATTAAGAAGCTGACAACGGACATGGACCTTATTCTTGAAGTTTTGAGATGTAAGTTTGGGACTTTGGTATCTGTATCAGCAGCACAAAGAATCCTTCTGTGCTTCAGAGGGATGTTTCAGTCTCTGAGCTGGTTATGGTTTGTTGTTCTGGTAAATGGTGACAGGAACTTTACTGAGTAGGAGGCTCTTCCAAACTCCTGAATTCTCATTCTTTGTTCCAAGTTCCATGAGAGAGTCTGCCACTGCTGAGATGTCCAAATTTTATACTTTATTTTCAGCTTCTCCTATGGTACAAGTGGATGAAAGGGGGGAGAAAGTCAGACCAAACCACAAACGATGTATTATCATTCTCCGGGAGATCCCTGAAACTACACCAATAGAGGTAAATAAAGAAAAGGAAAAAAATAACTGTTACTGGTTTTGGAAGGTGTTTTCAACAGCACCAGGAGAAGTCAGCTGGTGTTTAATTGGATTATACATGGATATTTTTCTTCTAGACCACATCAGTAACTTTTTCTGCCTGGGTGCAGTGTCAAAACAGCCAAAACAAAAACCTATTGTCATTATCCCTTCCCATTGTTCACTGCTGTGTTTAAACCTTCTTAAGTAAACTTCTTTTCCACCGAAGCTGAGCTAGCTGGGCTTTTCTGGAAGGAAGTTTGAACTGGTTTCTTTTCAGATCCAAAAATAAATCAGTCCAGGGCATAGCTTGGAATTCAGGCTAAATTTTTGTCACAGCAATAACTTTACTTGAAGTCAGACAGTTGTTTTGGCAGCAAGAAATGTTGCTAAACATTTCTCATTCATTGAGCCCCAGCGTGAGCTGAGCTCATTATGCCCGAGGAGGGAGGATAATAAAATTCCTCCTGATACTTGGCGAACAGAATGATTTAGTTCTTTGTTTTTTAAAGTTCTAATACATGGTGTTTTTCTACCAGCATTTTTAATGAGTTCTTTTAATGCCAACTCTGAGCAGCTGCCTGTCCCTCTCTTTACAATCTGATTATTGCAAAGCTGTCAGGTTGCCTTGACTTACAAATATTTCATGGAATCATTGTTGCCTCCATGACCCTGCTGATCTAAAGCCACACTTTTCCTACCTGTTTAATATGAAAATATCACCAGGTCTACACAGAGCTTGCTTTTCTTCTCAGCTGTGGCTGCTGTGTTTTATCTTGGGAGCCCGGGAGGCTGAGCTAGGGTTTGTGGGTTCAGCAGGTAGAGGGTGATTTGGTCAGGGGAACAAGAAAACATCCCTGGGCACGGGAGAGCAGCAGCTCAGAACTTGGGTCACTTTAGTGCTCACTGTACAAGAACCCTGAACGTCTCTCCCCAGGAGGTGAAGGCTCTGTTCAAGAACGAGAACTGCCCCAAGGTGATAAGCTGTGAGTTTGCTCACAACAACAACTGGTACGTTACATTCCAGTCCGACACAGACGCGCAACAGGTAAGGCTGCCTTCCTCTGACAGCCAGCTTTGATCCTTCCCCTGCTCAGGGACACTGCACTCGTGCTTCCTGCAGCTGAAAGAAATACTTATTTACTCATCCCCTTTTTGTTGTTTTAAGAGATTGCTGGTAGACTCTGGTTAATGAGATCAAAGTTGAGAGATTGTGGGGTTATAATTCCCTTGCCTGGCACTAGAATCCTGAATTTGAAGAGTTAATGAATTTAGCTGGGCTCACAGGGAAGCACATGACTGCACATTTGTGTTAAATCATGGAACATCATTTGGGAAGTACAAATTCTAATGCTGATCTTTTTTTTTTTTTTTTTTTATCTGCAGGCGTTCAAATACTTAAGGGAAGAAGTGAAAACCTTTCAGGGCAAGCCAGTAATGGTGAGGCTGCTTCAGCTGCTGTTTCTCTTGGGGTTGAATTGTGTTGTTTCTGTTTGGATAATGGTGATTTGGTTTGTGGGGGGTGAACCAAGGACTCAGCAGTGGGATAGTCCAGAACTGTGGCTCTGGAGGCTGGAAACGTGAACCAGGTCATGGGGAGCTCTGACAAATTACAGTTCAGTGGCTGCTGGTTACTCACAGCACTGCTTCCCAGGGGGGGTGAAATACATTCCTCTGCTGGCTTCCCTTCTCCACTTGCCCCAGAATCTGGGTTTGCAGAGCTCAGGAGAGGGATTCCTGCCACTGTGAGCCTTGAGTTGGCTGCTGCACAAAGCAGGCTGGAGCAAAGTGCATGTACTGTGAGAGGAGCTGTCACGATTGGAGTCTGGACATTTCCTGCATTTATCTGCAGTTTTACAGATCACCCAGCTAAAGCAGCACGTGTCCTTCCTCTTATCATGCTGTGGGAATATGAGCTGCACTGATTTTATCAGTTTTTATTCATAAATAGCAATCAACCTTCACATCCTTCCAGCAGGCAAAAAAGACTCCACATTCTCCTTTTCTGCCAGCTGATGCAGGGTGTGATTTGCTGTCTTGCAGGCCAGGATAAAAGCCATCAACACGTTTTTTGCTAAGAATGGTTACCGGGTGGTGGATTCCAGTGTGTATCCCCAGCCTGTGCAGACCCAAGCCCAGTTTGCCTCGCCCCTGTTTATGCAGCCTGTATATAGCCCTCAGCAGTACTCGATTTACAGCATCGTGCCTCAGACCTGGTCTCCAAATCCTGCACCTTACTTCGAGACTCCACTGGTGAGTACCAGCTGTGGGAAGGGGAGGAGGAGCCCAGCCCATCAGGATGATTTGGTTAATATTCACTAGGGTGAGGGGGTGTTGCAGGTTTCTTGGTCAGAGCCTTCTTTTTATGACATTTATGTCACAGCCCTGATGAAGCAACACTGTTAGAGGAGCTGCCAGTCTCACCATTGGCTGCTGCCACGTATTTCAAGGAATTTTGGTGTGAAATTCCATTATCCTGCAGCTTGTGTTACTGGAAGAGCCCATAGCTTTTCCAGGAATGCTAAAGCAGATGCAGACTGTGAAGCTGTGGGGATTTGGCTGGAGCAGTGAGTTCCCACCACAGCAGATGCTGTAGGCCAGTGTGAAATTACAGCCATGAGTAGCTGGTGAAGCTGATCATTAATCTGCAAACATTCTCTTTGTAGCTCAACCACTGAGTCTGTTGTGTCTGTTGCAGGCCCCGTTTCCCAACGGTGGATTTGTGAATGGCTTTAATACACCAGGATCCTACAAAACAAATGCTGCTTCTCTCAGTATAGGTCGCCCATTCCACAGGAATCGGTAAGAGAGTTCTGCCAGGGGTTTGCTCCTGCAAAACTGACACTGCTGAGATCCTCAAGTGTTCCTTGCATGTCACATGCAGTGCTTTCTGATGGGACCGCACTATCTATTTTTTTAATCAATTATATGATGTTTTCCAAGTTTATTTAAAAACTGAAGTTAGAAGGCAGCAGCTTAAGATCCTAAAATAATGGACACAGTGCTGGAGAGAGCCAAGGTAACTCTTTTTAAAAGCCTCAGAGGAATTTTTGCAGACAAATAAATAACTTCCTCCTCAGGTCATACTTGTAATTATGTTTGTTATACCCAGATTATAAACTCCTGCAGCACAACATAAACCTTTCCTGCTGGGATCAGGCTTGTGGAGCTGCTGGTTCCTGCAGTGGGAGTTGCTTGTCCTGACTGCTGTGTCCAACTGCTTGATGCTGGAACTGTTCCTGTAATTTATTTGCTTTATCCCCATCTTTCCTGAGAGCTGTAAGAACGTAGCTCAGATACAAACACCGGGGAGGAGGAAGCACTTTGTATTGCTGGAGCAATTGCTCTGTGGACACAATGGAGTTGTAACCTGTGTGTGGGGGTGGGAGTTGTTTGTGTGCAGCGCTGGGCTGGGATCATGGGAATTGCTGTTGGTATTGTTAGAGAAATCAGTCGACAGCTGCCAGGGCTGTGAGTGGGTTTGTGGTGCAGTTCAGGTCTGGGGCTCTTGGCAGAAGGGGAACTTTGGGCTGTGGTGACTCGGCAGAGTCTTAACCCAGACTGTGGAACTGGGAGCATGACTGCCTGGAAGATGGAGCAGCTGCTCCAGTTGCAGCTGCTCAGCTCCCAGCTCACATCTTGACAAAGGTGGTTTGGTTTTTAAATTGTGCACGATATTAAAACCTGTATATGGACCCTCATGGAAGTACAGGTGCTGCAACTGTGCAAGAGCTGTGTGTATCCAAGTGCTAGCACCTTGAAATGCCTCCCTGTTCATCACATCTGCATAACTCTTAAGCTTTTAAAATCCTGCTTGTGTAAAGACTTCAGTTTGTAAGACTTGGGTGCTTGAGGGTGCAGCTTTGGGGTCAGGGTGTGCAGGTCCTGCCGGCCCCGTGATGATCCAGTATCGCGCTAAGAGAGAACAGGTCACAGTCGGGGCTGGGCAGCCTGTGCTCCCTGCTTGTCCTTCCTCCTGCTCTTCCTTCCTTCCTTCTGCTCTCACATCCTTTCTCCTCCTCTCTGCTCTTTTTTTTTTTCCCTCATTTATCTTTCCTTGTCTTTTCTGCTTTGCTCTTCTGCCCAGACAAGACTGTGGCCTTCTCGATGACGGGTAAGATTATGAGATCTGAGGGCTGAACAGTGACTTGAGAATAACTTGGTAAGATTATGAGATCTGAGGGCTGCACAGTGGCTTGAGAATAACTTGGTAAGATTATGAGATCTGAGGGCTGAACAGTGGCTTGACAATATGCCCTTTTGAGAACAACTTGGACAAAATGGAAGAGTTCAGTTGACTTTGCTCCACCTCCTCCCCGTGGTTGTTGCTGATGGGAAACCTAAACTTCATTGGGCCCTTAAAACTGGTTCTTGAAGTTGGGAAGTGTGAATTCATCTCTGTTCAGCAAATCTCCTCTTGACCTGCAGAACAGCTTGTTTGGAGAGTTTGTCCAGCTGCTGCTTTTGGGTTTCTCTCCTGACCCATTAAACCTAATTTGTTTTGTGGTACAGACAGTTAATAGTTAACTGCTGAAGTTTTCTCGGTGGCTAAACATTTGTTTAAGCCACTTGTATTTATTTTGTGCTGATTTGTTGCAACATCCTTGTGCGAAAGGGAGATGGAGGAATTGTACTTTGGCTGGCACTAGGAGAGTTTCTTCTGATTTAATGGAATATTATAATGAGATTGTTTAAAAACAGCAAGTGTGCAAAATCCTCCTGCTGCCCTTAAATCATGAGACGTGCAGAGTTTACCAAAGGAGGGAGAATTTAGGATTCTTGTCTTTGATAAGTGCTGGAAAGCCAGTGAGGGGCAAAAGTAGAAAATAGTTGAAGACACCTAAATGCTGCTCCAGAAAACTGTTCCATATTGTGCTGGATCTGAGCTTTTCTGGAGAATTCTGCATTTAAGACCCTGAGCCGAACTTGCAGCAGCACTGAGGGTGCAGAGCTGTGTCTGTGCTCAAAGGAACCACAGCTTTAAAAATGAATGATCGATAATGGGGTGGAACATTTGGGGTTTGGGAACTGCAGAGTCGGTGCTGAGGGTTTGGGAATGGGAGCAGCCAGGCTCAGCCTGGCTTAGCTGCCCTGGCCTGATCTGCCACGTTCAGTCACTCCTGGCCTTGTCTCAGTTCAGTTTGTTTGCCTGTGGCCAGATCAGTCTGTTCCTCGGCCTTGGCTTATTTCTCCAGCTCCATTTCCATTGTCCTGTGCCAGTGCTGTGGGCCCAAAGGGAAAATTCCTCTTTGGGTTCTTCTGGCTCTTCTGCAACCCTAAGGTTTTGGGATTTTTTTTTTTAGTTTGAGGTTTTGGAAGTCTTCCCCTCCTGGGTATCTTTTGGGCAGCAATATCAGACAGGAGTTGTGGTTCTTGCTGAGCTGCTTTTCTGGTCAGCTGTGGGTCAGCTGCAGGTGGTGGTGGTTCTGCTGTGGTTCCTTGTTGGAACTCAAAATGTCCCTCAGACATTTTTGGAGGTTCCAGGCCCTGCTCAGAAGCATTTGAGACCTGGCAGGCAGCTGGAAACAGCTGTGATTTTGGGTTTGGAATGATTTACCAACTTTGCAGGAAGAACAAGAAGTCACAAAAGTTTAGATATTATAGTAGAAGTAGTTACAAAGTAGAGAAGAATTTTTTAGTGTTGTACAGCGGGGTTTTAACACCTGTAGAGGGGGGTTTTTACTTTGTACATGGGGGTCAGAAGTTTTTAAGATGGAGGAATGTAGGCCGGTCCTGTTCCTCCTCTTTCTTCTTCCTTCCCTCCATGTTCTTGGTGATGTTGGCACTCACAGATTGGTTTAGAGTAGAAAATCACCATTTAATATAGGTAATGGGCATTGGGGAAAAACTGTAAACATTTAACACGTAATGTACCATATAAAAGATAGAAAGGCACCATTTAATATAGGTAATAGGCATTGGGGGAAAACTATAAACGTTTAACATGTGATGTACCATATAAAAGACAGCAGCAGCCCTGGGCGGGGAGAGAAGAAGAAGACACCAGGCAGTGAGGATGTCAGGGTGTGTGTGTGCCTCTGCCTGAGCTGTGAGCAAACCACAGCAGCCCAAGGAGAAAATCTTTTAGATAACTTGCAATAAACTGCCTTGAGACCGAACAGCAGAGACTGCTGAGCCTTTCTTTGGCAGCACGGGCTGGAGGAGAGACTTTTCCAGCACACGGAGCCCCTGAAGCTGCCGGGGTTCCGACGGTTCCTCACATGGAGGGGTCCCACACTGCTCTCTGTGCCCGCAGGGTGAAGCCCCATTTCCGCTCCTCCAGCAGCTCCGAGCACCCCGAGGGGCCGCCCGGCGCCGGGGCCCTGCCCATGGGGGACCTGGGCAGAACCAGCTCGAGGAGTTTCGTCATGGAGCGCCACAGCAGCTCCTTAACCGGGCACCCAGAGCAGGGCTATGCCCAGAAGGATCCTCCCACGGCACAGCTGGAGCAGAACGGCGATTTCGGCGTCGGCAGGGGCAGGTAAAGGGCTGTGTCCTGGGTTTGCTGTCACACTGCAGCTGGGGCTTGGCTTGTGTGAGCCGCAGATACCAACCATCAGCACAAAATATGTTTCTGTAAGGAGCAGCCATGAGAAAACTGACATTTAAGTAAATCAGGAGCAGTAAATGCTGACCTGGGAGCAGGAATGGTTCCAGTTTCACTCTCCAGCTGGTAGTTACTCTGACAAACAGCTGGCAGTAAGACAGTGAGGTGTCTTCATTTTAAAATATTTGTTCCCAGAATTAAAACAGATGCTGAGGTAAAGTTGGCATCTGTGTTGCTGTAAATAATAAGTAAATCTCAGTTGGGAATTTGATGCTCCTCAACTGTTTTTATCTCTTTTAACTCAGGGTTTAGATACTTGAAAGGGCAGATCAGTGAGAAATCAGGCTAATAAGTTTATTACTATAAAATAATTGTCCCTGTGCTTGGTCAGATGCTCATGCAGGGAGCTGAGAAAGAGGAGCTGTTTCCATATTGACTCTTTCCCAACTTCTTCCAAAGTTGGAAGTTTGACCCCTTGTGAGGAGGGAGAACATCCCAGAGCTATGTGTGGGGAAGGCTCAGCAGGCAGCAGTGGGTCCCCTCGTGCAGAGGGGTGGAGGCACTGACTGTCCTTGTCTTTAAAGGAGGAACGTCTTCAGAGGTCGGAGGAGACGGGAGGACGACCGGGTTTCGGTAAGTTCTGCTTCCCTTTTTGCAGGGAGTCACACAAAGGGCAGAGCGTTGGCTTCCCAGTTATTGAGGGATGGCAGAGTCCTTAAATCCTCAGATTATGTTGGGGGTTTGCAGTTTTTCTAGGGAGCTCCCTGGCAGTTTGCTCAGGGCTTTCACTGCTCGGTGTTATGACTTTAGTAACTTGTGTTTTCCCTCTCCAGAGACCTCAACCTTCAGCAGAAACAAAGACTCAGACACCAAAGTTTGACTTGCTTGCATCCAATTTCCCTCCTTTGCCTGGCAGCACAGCAAAAATTCTGGGAGAGCCTGTGCTGGAGAGCAGGATGTCCGACATCGTTAAAGGAGTCTGCAAAGAGAAGGTGCCTGGTCTTGTCTCTGTACACACACCGGCATAGCTGGGTGCTGTGACTCCCTTTTCCCTGTTCAGGGCTTGGTTTGTTAGAGACACCTATTCCAGTGCTTTAATCCCAGACTTCTTCGTGCATTTTCCCAGGTTTTTTGTGGGAATGCAGCTAGGCCTCATGCAGTTACGCTGTTGTAAACTCAGTGATGTTTAGGAATAAAGTGGGCAAAGGGCAAATGTTGGCTGTTGGAGTAGGAACAGTTTGGTGGAGTGTAGCAAGGGATCTTCCCAGATGAATCCCTTCTTTGAGCTGGTGGGACTAAGCACTGACATTCTGGTTTTGCCCATATAAAGAGGTATTGCTTTAGAAGTGACAGTCCAAAAGAAATAAAAGTGCTGTCACCAGGACTTGAGCAGCCTTTGGGACTACCCCACTTCTCAGATGTCTTGCAGTGCCATATTGTGAAGCAATTTGAGTATCGTTGTGTATTTTGCAATGTTTTCCTCTGTGTGCAGGAAAGCAAAGACTCCCTGTGCCCCTGCCCGGCTCCTGCTCCGGAGGAACAGACGCCCAGCGCCGTCCAGCCCGTGCCCAGCGTGAGCTCCCCGAGCCAGGCTGAGCCTGTGCTGCTGAGGTATGCAGAGAACACGGACTTGGCACGGAGCTGTGCAGTGTCCTGAGCTGGAACGGACCCGCAGGGACCATCCAGTGCAACCCCGGCCATGCACAGACACCCCAACAATCCCTCCCTCTGCATCCCTGGGAGTGTTGTCCAAATGCTCCATGGCAGCCTTGGGGCTGTGCCCATTCCCTGGGGAGCCTGGGCAGTGCCTGATCCCCCTGGGAGAACCTTTTCCTGATGTCCCACCTAACCCTCCCCTGACAGAGCTGCAGTGGTTCCCTCGTGTCCCTGGTCACAGGCAGCAGAGATGGGAGCTGCCCCTCGGGATGAAGCTGCAGCCCCCCACGAGTCTCCCCTCAGTCTCTTCTCCCCTCTTCTCTTCCCCAGAGCCCTCAGCCTCTCCTCCAGACCCTGCCCCATCCCCTTCTCCCCGCTTTGGACCCTCTCCAGCAGCTTCAGGTGTTTTTGATATTGTGGTGCCCAGAGTGCCCCCAGGACTGGGGGTGAGGCCACCCCAGTGCAGCAGAGTGGGACAATCCCCTCCCTCACCTGTCTGGCACCTGATGCCCCCAGAGCCTGGTGACCCTTGGGGTGCCAAGGCGCTGCTGACTCACCTGCGTGTTCTAGCAAGGTCTCTCATCGGTGTCTGCAGTAATGTTGGGTGGTATCTTCTTCTCCAGAGGCCGCCAGATGGGAAGGACAGATAAGGGTGGGAATGGCTGTGCTGTTCTGTTCTGCACTTGTGACTCAAAGGAAATCTCTGAAACAGGAGTGTCAGTAGGTTTTAATTTGAATTGTTGTTGGTTTATCAGCACGGTTCAGCCAGAGAGCAAACCAGAAGTGTCTGCTCCAAAGGACGTGGCCAGCCCGGCTTCTCCGCCGGCATCCGTCTGTCCCATCAGTGCTGCCAAGCCAGCGAGGACAAACACCTCCTCACCTTCTGCTCAAGCAAGTGCAGCTCCTGCTCTGTCAGCACAGGTAAGGCCCAGAGCAGGGAGTGGGAATGACACAGGGAGCTTCCTCTGGGATGTTGTGCCTGGGACGGGCTGGGGGGTGGCTGTGCTGCATAAACCTCGCTCTTCTCGCTCCCAAAGGAGCCCCGCAAGCTCAGCTACGCAGAAGTTTGCCAGAAGCCCCCGAAGGAGCCACCTCCAGTGCCCGTCCAGCCTCTGCGGGAGCACCGCACCAACATCGTCCCCCCTGCCAAAAACGAAGACAACGGTACGGCCGAGAAGGCTCCGGAGAAGGCTCCTCACGAGAGGCCCGAAGCTCGAATGAAGGATTTCCCCGGGTTCCGCGGCCCCGGGGCTCCCAGGGGAGCTGCTGGGAAAATCAGGGAACAGAGGCGCCAGTTTGGACGCAGATCTTCGCCTCAGGGAGCGCCGCGCCGCGTGGGCAAGGAGCAGTTCGTGGGCAAGGAGCAGTTCGTGGGCAAGGAGCAGTTCGTGGGCAAGGAGCAGTTCGTGGGCAAGGAGCAGTTCGTGGGCAAGGAGCAGTTCGTGGGCAAGGAGCAGTACGTGGGCAAGGAGCAGTACGTGGGCAAGGAGCAGTACGTGCCACCCCGGTCACCAAAGTAACGCTGGGCCAGCCAAGGATTCTCTGTTTCACTTCAGCTGTGGACTCAAGAGCAGCAGAGACACTGAGGAGGGAAGGATTCGGGAAGGGGAATACCGAACTTGGAAGCGTGGCTTGGTGTGGAGAAGTTTGGAGGGTCCCAAAATTCATCTCTAAAAAGTGATTTCACAAATGCTGGAGGATTCCAATCACTATAAATATAGAGATTATAATTTTTGTATTTTTGTTTTTAATTTGCAGAGGGTTTCCTGCTTGAAGTCAGCTTTGGGATTGTGAAAGTAGCGTTTTGACAAAGTGAAAGAATACGAGTTGACAAATTAACCTGTCCCTCGGTGTAGGAGGAAAAGGATAAGAGAATATTATTTTTGGAAAATGAGCATTTCTGTAAAATTAGAACTTTTTTTAACCTATTTAACGTTTGGCTTGTGGGCTGGTGTGTCTGCCATGGGTGGCCTGGCATTGCAGAGGCCTCTGCAGCAGCGTGAGCGGAGCGAGTGCAGCCAGAACTGTTGTCATCACTTAGTCACTGATGATGAAAACTGAATGTACTACTGTAGTGTAACCCATGTGTTTCCAGCTTGAAGTAGTCTCTTGACCTTACTAATATTTCATTCAGCAAGCTTTTTAAGGTATAAGTTTTGCAGGATACTGGATTGTAGGTGAGAGTGTGTGGACAGCAGAAATTGTCTCGTAGACGCAGTGGAAGGAGGCAAAGGGAGCATGTGAGAATCTTTATTGTGCCCTTTCTCCTCGCCTCCTTTTGAGGGCAACTCCTTAGGTTTGGGGTTTTGTTTGTTTGCTTTTTCCCTCTCTTGTTCCTTTCTCTAATTTCTTTATTACAGACTTTAGTGCATTTTTCTTGGTGTGTTTTCCTGAGGCAGCCCCAGGGTAGGACGGGCAGGTGGCTACACAGCACCTGGTGTCACCTGCACAGGTAAGGAGCCTGGAATTGCAGCTGCAGATGCTGAATTCTGCCTTGCAGGTGGCAGCTCTGGCCCCTCACTGGCATCTCTGCATGGCTGGGTTTTCTCTGTGCTGACTCTGGAATAGGCTGTTGGCTGCTGTCTTGCCAGAAATCAGGGTTTAGACTCCTGGGAACTCGTTGTTTACAGCCCACGTCATAGCAACTGACTCGTTTTTAAGTGTTTAAAGTGGAACTAAAGACGCAGAGTTAAGGAAATCCCCTCGTGTTCAGAGAAGCTACTGGAGCAGTGGCTCCTTGCCAGCTGTGTGCTGACTGAATTTGCAACACTATTGTGCAGTAAGTGGTTAAGTTTCAGGGTGATTAATGACCGAAATAGGAACATTCAGCGCATTAATCTGCCAAAATCAGCATACCAGGGTTCAAAGTTCTGTATAAAGCGTTAGGGAAAAGTAGCTTCCAGCAGTAAGAATCACATCTTTATTTTTTCTCTCTTTTTTTTTTTTTTTTTTTAGTGAATAGCAAGTGTACAAATTTAAAGTTGTAAGTTGTGAACACTGGAAAATTCAATTGTGATATGTTCCGTAACCATCTTAGTAATATATGCTCGTGTTGCCATAGAATGAATGTAAGTGGCAGTTAAAATAACTGTGAAATTTTTCATCTTCTGATTTCTTAGCCAGATAACCCTTGGCAACTTGGGCCTCAGTAGGAATTCTCTATCAACTGCTTGGAGAACACTCATATCTATTTTTATAAATATATATATAAAGCCAGAGTTGTCATTTCTCTAACTTATTATTCAGCTTGGCAATTGCTTTGAGTTGATTCATAACACAATATAATGTATTTATGCAGTTAACTGTTCATTTCTAAGCATGTTACAAAGAGAGAGTCAGAGAATCAGCGATTGGGCTGAGTTGGAGGGACCCATCAGGATCGTGGAGTCCAACTCCTGCCCTGCACAGACGCCCCAAAAATCCCAACCTGTGCCTGAGAGCGTTGTCTGAATGCTTCTTGAGATCAGACAGGCTTGGAGCTGTGACCCCCCTCTGGGGAAGGACCTTTTCCTGATCTCCCACCTCAACCTTCCCCACCTCAGCTTCCTGCCATTTCCTCGAGTCCTGAAGTATCTATACATATATATATATTCATTTATATATGTATATATAAACCCCAAAATCACTATTGACTTTGAAACTACCTGTCCTGGGTTTGGGAGGTTTTTTTTTTAATTTAGTAAAAAAAAATCGTTGATCACATCCACAGTTTAGAGATTCTTACAAACCCTTCTCCCTTTATTTTGATAATGCTACTCTCATTGGAACGCTAGGGAAGTTTAAATATTTAGTGTCAAAGTCCTGGAAAGCAATGAATGCGAAGTTTAATTAGTTTTAAAGGCTCTAAACAATTCCTGCAGCCAAAGTGGAACGAAAGAAGCCTGTGGGATGGTTCAGGGGTGTTGAGGGGAGACGTGTTCTGGGATGTGGAGGGAGCAGTGGGATGCTGACCGCTGTTGGCTCTGGGAGGGAGAAGGAGCTGGTGCAGGTGTGGCTCAGAATTCCTGATCCAGCGGCACTGATCGCTTGTGCTGGGAGGGCCTGAGAGGTGAAATGGGACTTTGTCATGGATCAGATGTGGGAAAACCCAACCCAGAGTGGCTCCGTGGTGCTGTGGGGTGGTGGAAAGGGGAGCTCTGTGCCTCCTGGGCTTTTCCAGCAGCTCGTGGCTCTGGTGCAGGGGATGTAGGTCAGGCTGGAAGTGTTGGCTTTTCCCAGCACACCCAAACTTCTCTCAGCTTAAGGCACTTGCAATGATTCATTTCACACCTGTGTGCAAGGATTTCATGTCAGCGTTTTCCTCCCACTCCCACCGTTTCCAGCTGTGGTTTGGGGTTTGTTTTATTCTTTTGCTTTCTATTCTTTCCTGTGCAGGGGGAAATTCCCAGCTGGATGCAGAGGCTGTGAAATTGGTGGGGTGGGAGTTCTCCCCAGCACTGGGATCTGCCTTTTCCTCTCGGGCTGGGCTGGGGAAGGATCTGGTGGCTGTCCCCACCAGTTTACCTGCTGGGCAGACTGGGGAAACTGGGACAGGGCTGGGACAGCTCCTGGGTTCCCGGGAGCTGCTCCTGTCCCAGCTCCAGCTGCTCTCCGAGTGTCCCCCACGGGATGGAAATCCTCCTGCTCTGCTGATATTAAATACCAGGAGGTGCAAATCACACCTAACCTTCAGCTTTAGGAACTGTGACTTGTTTTCAGAGTTGTTGGCTTCCGTTAGGGACAGAAATCCACTCCCCACTTGGGTTCTTTTCCAATTTACTGCGCGTGGAAAAGATTGGGGCGCTCTGTCGTGCTTCTGCTGGGGAGTACAAAGAAGAAATTCTTTGCGTGTGATAGTAAAATTAAAAGTGCAAAAAGTTTTCTTTTGATTTCTAACATTAAGTTAGTTTTATAGTATCTTACATTCCTGCTCTTGTTGTTTTGTTGGGTTTTTTTGTTGGTTTTTTTTTTTTAATTAGCCTGGCACAGTATGATGGTGCAGTTTTAGCTGTAGGAAAAAAAAAAAAAAGTAACCCACTATTAACCAGAAGAGAAAGATGATACTGTGGCAGATCAGTAGCAAATAAGTGACTTAATCAATGCTTTACTGTAGTTAAATAGCTATGGCCTTACTACTTTGTCAATATCAGCTTAATTGTCTTGAAACTGTCTGCAATTTTTACTGTTCCCAGGTGAGTTTACCTGGGCTGAGATATCTGGTATGTACAGATGATATTTTAAATTTGTAAAATGCACCATTGTATTACAGATGATGCAACAGAAATGCACTTCGGGGGGAAATGGCTTCTGATGAGTTTTTTTGTAAATCCTTGATTACTACAGATATGCAATAGAGTTTTTTGTTTCTAATTTTGATATTTCCTTCTGAAACGTAAGATTGTTGCCATTAATCTGAATGATTTATCATGCTCTTCTTTGCGTGTATATATTCCATATAGTCTGAGCTTCCTTTAGGGTGGTACATAATTTTGGGTTGTTGTAGTATTTTAGTTGGCTCTTCTCTTCAGTGCCTTTAGCGCAGGCACTTCAAGAGGTTCACTGAGTCTGTTTTTATTGTACAGTTGGGAGGACTTGAAATGGAGTTAAAGCAACTTATTTCTGAAAAAAAAATCCATCTGCAAACTTAACCTGTAACAACTTTAAAATTTTATATTTAAGAACCAGATGTTTATTTTTATGGAACTTCAGTTATGGATACAGTTTCCAAAAAAAAAAAAAAAGCAACTTCAAATGTAAACAGACTGTGCATAAATGGGTTTTGTTCTAATTTTTATAGAATACAAAATATTCAGATAATATATTGAGCTCGAGTTACTACAGACATCTTGTTCCTCCCGGATGAATCCAGCTTCCCCTTGGCATTGACGATCTCTCTTCAAAGTGGTAGGAAAGGACAAAAAAAGCAACTTATCTGGCTTTTAGACTGTCTGTTCTGGTTTATTCCTGTTGTCAAAATGTCCAAAACAAAATTTGTGTAAAGTAGGTTCATGCTTTAAGTGTTCAAATGATAATACATGTATTTGTATTTGTTTTTGACATTGCCAAGGTGCTATGGGAAATTGAAATAACAGTTAGAAAAATAAAGCTGATTTAAAAGAGAAAAAACACAAAAAAAAAAAAAAAAAAGAAAAGAAACTAAAAAAAAAAAAAAGAAAAAAACCCTTAAACCACAATTCCTGAGCTCTTCCTTGTGTCTGTGCAGGTTGAAATGTTTTTAGTGCAGGTGCTGGTGGGGGTGAAGGGAGAACCTCGGCTCTGCCGGGGGCTCGGGGTCCCACTGGGTCCCAATCCCCGGGCCCGGGATTGGCTCCAGAAGGTTCTGGAATATCCTGGGGAGGGAAACGGGAAACAGAACCCCCCAGCCTGGCCCAGGAGCTCCAGGACCCAGCTCTGGAGAGCGATCACCCCGCACACTCCCGGGTTCGGGTGGGAACGGGGCGGAACCGGGGCTGGGGCCTGGAGCGGGACCGGGAACAGGGAGCGGGAGTAGAACCGGGACCGGGAACGGGGAGCAGGAGCGGGACCGGGACCGGGAACAGGGAGCGGGAACAGAACCGGGAACAGGGAGCAGGAGTAGAACCAGGACTGGGAGCAGGAGCAGAACCGGGACTGGGGAAGGGGCGCGGGGCAGAACCAAGACTGGGGACGGAGATCAGGAGTGGAACTGGGGAGCAGGAGTAGAACCAGGACTGGGGACAGGCCCTGGAGCAGAAGCGGGAACAGGGATCAGGAGCAGAACTGGGGATCGGGAGTAGAACCAGGAGTGGGAACGGGAATGGAACAGGTCCAGGACCAGGATTGGGAACAGAACCAAGACTGGCGACGGACCCCGGCAGCAGAACCAGGACCAAGAGCAGGCCAGGGTGTGGAGGTGAAACTGGGATTGGGAACAGGACCAGGACTGGGAGTGGGACCAGGACTGGGTGGAGGGCTGGGAGCAGAACGGGAGCAGAACAGGTACGTTGCTCCCAGGACTGGGAGCTGAACTGGGACTGGGAGCAGAACAGGGACAGGATCGCTGCCAGGGCCGGGAACTGAACCGGGACCGGGATAAGGGAGCAGGACCAGGAACCGAACCGGTACCGGGTTAGGGAGCAGAACAGGGACCGGGAGCTGAACCGGTACCGGGAGTGGGAGCAGAACAGGGACTGGGATCGCTGCCAGGACCGGGAACCGGACCGGTACCGGGTTAGGGAGCAGACCAGGGACCGGAACCGGACCGGCACTGGGTTAGGGAGCAGACCAGGGACCGGGTTAGGGAGCAGACCAGGGACCGGGAACCGAACCGGTTCCGGGTTAGGGAGCAGACCAGGGACCGGAACCGGACCGGTACCGGGTTAAGGAGCAGACCAGGACCGGAACCGGACCGGTACCGGGTTAAGGAGCAGACCAGGACCGGAACCGGACCGGTACCGGGCGCGGGCGCGGCGGCTGCAGCGCGGGGCGGGGCCGCGCGGGGGCGCCGCGGGGCCCGGAGCGCGCGCCGCGCGGTCACGTGCCGGCGGGCGCCGGGCTCAGCCATGGCGGAGGCTGCGGCCGCTGCCGCTCCCCCGCGCCCCGCGGCCGCTGAGCCCCGCCGCGCCCGCGCCCGCGCCCGCCATGGCCGAGCCCGCCGCCCTGTCCTCGCTGCCCCCGCGAGGTCCGCGAGCAGCTGGCCGAGCTGGAGCTGGAGCTCTCGGAAGGTCAGTGAGTGAGTGAGTGAGGAGCGCCCCGCAGCCCGGCCCGGCCCTGCCCGCGGGGCGCCGCCGTGTGAGGGGCCGGGGGCGGCGGGGGCCGAGCGGGGCCGGGGGCGGCGGGGCTGCGGGGAGCGGGGCTCCGGCTCCGCGGCCCGTGTGCGTGAGGGGAGCGGCCGAGGAAGGAAGGGCCCGGCCGGGCTGGGGCTGGGGCTGAGGGGAAGGAGCGCTGGGAGCATCCTCAGTGCGGGGGACCCCGGGGAGAAGCCCCGGCCTGGCCGTCACCTGTCGGGGGTGGCTGAGCTGACCCCCCGTCCCTCCCTCGGGAGGGTTTTTATTCCTGGTGGCCTCTTTTCCGTAGCTCCCGAGCCGAGGATGCGGGGTGGGAGTGAGAGCCCCCGGGACAAGCAGCTGTGGGGCGGGGGAGTCGCAGGAACTTCGGGCACAATAATGACGGCAAACCCTGTGTTATTCCCACTTTCTGAATAAGTTCTTGTGCCATAATCGGTTCAGAGCATGCGCTTTTTGCTGGATTTTTTTTTCCTTGTTGTTGTTGTTTCCTTTTTTTGCATGGGTTTGTCTTTGTTCCCCGGCGTTTAAGATGCTGCTCTGGGTGCAGCTTTGTTGTGAATCTCCCTTGCGAAGCCGGAGGGATGGAGCTGAGGCGGAGGGGGAAGGTTGCCGAGCAGGTAGCTCAGATTTGCATAATTTTAATTTTCATGGTGTGGAACTTGATGCCAAAATCAGGTGGCTTCTCAGGAGGGTTCGCTGCGTGGTTGGAATAACCAGAGAATCAGAATATCCTGAGCTGCAAGGGACCCTACAAGGACCATCCATGTCTCTCTTAGCACTACAAATTAAGAACAATCAAGTTGCAGGCACATCTTGCCCTGTTTATCCCAGAGCTTGCAGTGTATAAAAGAGACTTATTGACTCTTTGGAGATCAGGAATTCACTCCCAGGGTGAGCTGGGGGCTGTCAGCCCCCGCTGCCCACGCTGGCACTCAAGGCTGTGCCAGCAGAAAATGCCATGGCACTGCTTTCCTAACACAGTTAAACCCCTGATGTTGGCTGGCTGGGGCTTTTGTTAACTCTTTTCCAGATAAACTTGCTGCAGACATTTAACTAAAGTGATAAAACTTTATCAAGTGTTTGCTTTTGGGGACTCCGTGATAACAAAGAATGAGGAATGGTGGTGTTGCTCAAAATGTAACATTAAGTATGTTTTTAAAAGAATTTGTTACATATTTCAAGCGTTTGCTTGGATTTTCTGAGGTTTGTTTCTTGTGGCACTGAAAGCCCCTTATGATTTGACCCCGTGATAGATTGTACTGCAAACTTAAAAAAAAATGAGCTCTGTTGTGACATCCCACTAATCTTTAACGAGCTGCTCCTATAGCTTCAACTTTGGTGCTACAGAGTGAAGTTTTGTGGGTTATATAAGTAATTCTCCGAATATTAAATCCGCTGCCCCTTTGTGAGTTTAATACTTGGATTTCTTAATATGTATATCAGGGATTTGTTTGTGCAAATCACTTTTTCTGTCAAAAAAACCCACGAGTACAGAGAATTCTGGGTGACTGCGTCCCCAAACTCTTGGGAACATATTTCAGGGGATGTTGTTGCTGAGATAACCGAGCTGTGGGAAGGGGGAGTGAGGTAATGTCATTGTGGAGTTCTTGAAAAATACGCCCTAGTTTGAGGCTTAAGCTGAGGGATTTTGAGGCCTGTGTGTGCATTGTTCAGCTGAATATAACCATGGGCTGTTGACAGTAAACAATATTGAATAGAAGCATTTTATTAAAAATGGCAGCAGGGCTCCATGTGCCACTGCTCAGTTGTTGCTCACATAAGAACACTTGGTCCTTTTTTTGCCACCCCCTTGTTGCAGCTTCGATTGTCTCTGGCTGTTGTCTGTGTGAATATTTCTGTCAGGTTTTTTGCATAGGAACACCTCGTTTTTGGGAGAGGAGAGGAACTGCAGCTGCTGGGAGCAGCCCAGGCTCCCTGACAACAGGAACTGGAGATGGCTCTGTCCTTGATGGACAGTGTGGGGTGGCTCCAAGGGCTGGGAGCACAAACACTCGGAGTGCTGAGCCTTGCAGTGAATTTCACCCAGGCGTTTGCTACTACTAACCACCACAGAGCAGAGAATTTCTAACAAAACAGGGGGAAATATAGTATTAAAACCTTATCTGGCGTTGTGGTTGTGAAAGGTGCAGCGTCAGCAAGCAGGATGCAAAGTGGAGCAGGATTACTTTAATGTATGCTGGAAATAGAAATCAGAGTTTGCAATGGTGAGCCATGAGAGTTTCTTAAGGAGCAATCTGTGCAGAAGGAGCAACAGGACTAATTATACCTCTGGATTATTCCTCACTGAGCCTTGTGGTCAGTGCAGAAGTAACAGGCATCCCATCCCTGGGTGCAGTGGAAATGTCTGAGCAAAGGAGTGGGACGTGTTTCAGGAAACATTAATTGTTCATTAACCAACAGAAATTGCATCTCGCTCTGCGTCTTGGGCCTTGGTGATGGATTTAAGACCAACTCATTCATTTCTAAGCGTGCATAAGAAATACGAATTCATTGTCTTCTGCCAATGGGAAGGGCATTTAAACCTGAGTCTGAAGTTAGGGAGAGCTTCCACTGCCTCACAGAAGGGATTAATGTGGAAACCTCTGAGGAAGAACGTTCAAGTAACAATATATCAGCTGAGAATTGGGTCATGGAGCTGTGGGAGATCTAGAACCTGCTCATTACTCATGTTTTCCTTCTTTCTGCACTTTTGGGATATTTTTCTTTCTGGTGCTTTTCTTCATCTGTCAGTAACACCCACATTATGCATCACTAATGATGGGAAGGGCTGTCTTTGTATTTACATCTGTTTCTGTTTGATGAGTGAAAGTGCTGGGGATATTAACTTCATTTA